AGCGGCAAGATGAGCACGGCATGTCTGGGAGCTTTGCTTCAGACTGAGTTTTGCAGAGGCAGAACGCTGAATTATTTCAGAGTGCAAGTATACATCGTGATGTCCATATGACCATGTTAAGCCCAGGTTTTAACCCAACTAATAATAATTTCAATAGCAATGAGGACATGATGGCACATAAGGGTGGAAATACTGGATGCAAATGTAAATTCTTACCTTCTATTAAAAGGAAGGAACATCGCCAGTCTTACTTCTCTAAGTATTGTGGTCAGCATTGCTAAGAGTAAAATCCAGCAGGACATAACTTTCTTTAAGCTATGATTAGTCCATTAGCTATAGCCATACAGATTCTATACCCAGAGATGGACACAGGGTCACCAAGAACATTTTGCATTGTATTTATGGAATGAAAACCTGTTCTCTAAAGACATATCCCAGTGGATTAGAGAGACCAGAGCTAAGCTGTGGTATTTACTCCCAGACAGACAGCAGGCCAAGCATGCAAAAGAAGCAGGCATTACCTACTTCACCACTCAGGGAAAGACGCGAAAGAGGAAACATCAGCTGCTTTGAAGACATTTCAGTGGTAATAAAATGTAAGAGGACAGGATTGATTTAAGGCTTTCAGTCTGACTCCCAGATGAGGGATCAATTATCCTGCATCATTTAATCTCCTTAAGCAGGTCATGACACAAACTAGAAATTAGACGCATTGTATCTAATATGAAGAGCAGCTCTTAATGGTAGTTAGCATCAGCCTCAGATATTTTAGAGGAAAACATAACTGGGATTTGGGGAGCTCTGAAGAGTTGGCTCCACTAGATTGCTGCAGTCAGATCCTAATGGTTTTGTTTATTGTTTACCTAATAGAGTGACATGTTTCAAACTATCCTCTACCTTCATGGCAAATTTCTCAGCTAAACCAAGCTCCTACTTTTTTTACATCATTCAAGAGAACTGAAATATCACATGGCTCCTAACCTGGTGCAACCCCTAGCTAAACCAGCCTACTTTTGGAACAGAACCTCCTAGAAGGAAGCAATGCGATGCAGGAGGAGGCTCCATCTGAATCCCCTCCAGGCCGGGAGAGCTGATAATGAAGGTCCTTGTCCCTGTAACAAATATATAGCTTCCTACTGAGCTTTCCAATTGCATTTCTTGTGTGAAACTGTTGACATAATCAAGCACAAGCATGCAAACAGAAGGATAGCTAAAGAAAGATCCTTATTTTGTCATAGAGTTGTTTTTCCTATGTACCAGGGGAAAACTAGGCCACAGAATGTAAGCATTATGATTAACTTTCAAGAGAGGCTAAAATTATCCAGGATTATACAAATATAAGCAGGTTTTGTTTGTTTCATTTCCTGTTACCAAAAACAATTCAGTGTTGAATATATATGAAGGGTTTTGGGGTGGTGGGTTTGGGGGTTTTTGTGGGATTTTTTTGCAAAACCTCTACAATGGGGCGGATGTATTTTTAAGAAGCAGTCAAATGCAACATACCTATTCTGAATATTCTTTAATGGACCTAGGAAGTGTGAATTTAAACTTTGTTGTAAGAGTTAAAATCTATATAGGAACTGGCTGAAGCAGTGATTTCTAGTCAAAGTCAGATCAGGAACCAGCCCTATAGTTTGCAGTACTTACATCAGTGGCTGTCAATGTTCTTTCTGCCAAGTAAGCAAATGCCAAAGGATCTAGGAAACAAAATCTTCTGCATTTCTCACATCACTCTGTGTACTTCCACTCTCTCTCACTGCATTTCCCCTAGCTTTGCTCCTTTTCTCAGAATGCCCCAAAGCAGTGAGCTCTCCCCATCCTGATGATACTCGCCTGCCCTCTGAAACTGGGATTTCTGGATCAAGGGATAGACCCACCTCCTATCTAACAGCAGAAATGATGGGGTGTGGGGAGCACATATGACAAAGACAACTGTAATTTAAAGGCTGACCTGTACCACCTATTTTTAAACTGAAGTGCTCAGGAAACATGCTATGGATCATTTTAATTCTAAATGTCATGAAGAAGAAACTATAGTAGCAGTTTGTTCAATATGTACTTAGCACTGCAATTTTATGACTCTGTCACATACTCACCAAAACACCTCTCTAGTGGGGATGTTGCTGGCAGCACAAGGACATAAGGTACTGAAAAGGAAAGATTCAAGACCCAATAAAGCGATTCCTTCATTTTCAACACTGTTTGCCTTGCCAGTTGATCTCAAAGAAGCTTTAAAAAATGTTTCAGACTATAAGCACCATTCCTGAAGCTTTGCCAAAAGCTTTCTTGTCACTGCATTGCATATCAAGAATTTTCAAATAAAATGAGCTTTGAAGGCTGCTTCTGTACCTACAGAAGGCAACTCCTGCTGTAATTGCTGGGTAGTGACTCTGAATGACAGGCTGCCATTCTAAAAACCATCAGTACCTGTTTTCCTATATAACTACAAAACAAGGAACGCATGAAGAAGGCTGTAAGCTGCAGGAGGAACGATCTGGTACGTGCTCACGACAGTGTTTTGAGCCCTCTCCACTTTATCAATTGTACAGACATGCAGTGAGGGTTTGTTCTTTCAGGAGAAATACACCTTGCATTTCACAAGCAAGCCAGCCAAAATGTTGCTGAATACCACTGAATAGTCTTTCTCCCCTTGGAGGACAGGCAGCTGCCTGCCTCTGCTCTCCTTCAGGTAGCTAGCCATCTCCTGCTGGCACTGCAGCAGGGTTGCCCTGTGGATTAACAAGCAGATGCAACTGAGGTTAAGACAGGCAGTGCTATTTCTACTTAAGAAATCCCTTCATCTTCACAGAAGGGCTTTAACGACAGCAAATGGTAATAAAGTTGAAGTGGCTTCTCAAATCTGCTGCTGATTCTGCACTTTTGAAATGTTTTTTTTACTTCTATTTCAGAAACGTAACACAGCAACCAAGAAAAGCACTAAGAACAAAAGCCATCCACCGACCTGGCATAAACCTACACACAATGCACCAAATAAAGCATCTTGATCCTGCAGCTTTAATGCTCTGCTAGCATTAGCAAATTAAATACATGTTCACTGAAAGTTATTTTTATGAAATGCTTTAAAAAAAAAGATAATGTATATGTACTTTTCACAGCATTCCCTGACTCCCAACTCGTATTTATTACAGAGGCAAGATTGCCTTACAAGCCAACTTCATATCCTATTAGCCCTCCTCAGCCTAGGCTACAGTAATTGCCTAAGCTCCCCATGTAGTCAAGAGAAAGACAGGTATCTCTATTTGACAAGGCAGCTATCCCAATATAACATGAACAGTATACATGTGATGAGTTGCCCCCAAGTGCCTAGTGCTCTGTCGACTGTAGGAGAAATCAAGACACCCAGCACAGAACACACAGTCAACCTTGGGAGCTGAAGTCAGGCAAGCTGAATTTTCCCAAGTAATGAGTAAAAAATAATCAATATGCAAAATCATGACTAGTAAGAGCTAAACAGGGAATGATTATTCATTATTTCCTCACAACGCACGAATTTGGACAGGCAACAAGCCTAAAAACAAAGGGAAGTATTTCCTTACACTATTACTACTGTGGAACTCACTGCTACAGAACATTATGAGAGCAAAAGTATAAATGGGTTCAAGAAAACTAGATGTCATCATTGAGGAAAGAGACCTAAATGTTCCCAAAACCAAAATACATGGCCACAATTCCATATCACATAGGCCATCGGCCACAAAATGCCAGATGCTGGAAGAAAAAAAAACCCACCACTGCGTACCTTCACTTACGCTTTTTCCCAAAACAGTCACTGTTGACAGCAATCTGTAATGTCCATATGCAGCTGAACTGTTTAATATTCTTCCAAGACCTACTTGCAACACTAGGCGGCAGGGAAAACAACTAGCTCATCTACAGCATTGAGAACCTTGAATGTCAGTCTCACTTGCCAATAGTTAAGGATTAGTGCAATACAGCAATCTCATACAGCTGGATTTGCTTTGTGTCCCTACATAGCCTTGAGCACCATTTTTCAAGTAAAATACTGTGTTCAGAGATCTGTAAGTTAGTGGTACTAGACTACAGCCTAATTCCTTCCCTGAGATATCTTGCCCTCTCATTTAAGAGCTCACAGACAATTGCTAAATGTTTCTGCTTCTCTAGAAACAGTTCAAACAGACACAAAATGGAGTTGAAATCCTCATGGTCTCCACCTCTGTAAAGACACAGTACCATACCATTTACTTCATGCCTCTATTTTTTTCTAAAAAGTCACTTTATTATTTAAAGTTCACATCACTTGTGGGCCACTTATGAAAATACCGCAAGCAACGATGAAACAAGTTCTACAACTCAGGCAGTGGCAAAGCAGGCAGGCCAATGCAAATTACTTTTCAGGCTGTACTGACCCTCCTGTCAGTACACTCTTCCCCTTCTGCAAATGGTAAAAAACTTCAGACTTGTAACATTCTGCTCAAGATCTCCCTCAAAACTTGAGGGGAAAGGTATGATCTTTCTTCATGAATGCAAGCTCTGAGTTTCAAAACAAAAGTGTGTTTATATGTAAAGGACACCACCTCTGCACTGCAGCATAACTTGCTGTTCTCCAAATTACAGACATTTCCTAGAACATTGCTGACATTAAAAGGGAAAGTCAGACATTTAACTCCTACTTTGTTCACATAATTTAAAGAAAAATGCAGACAATTATTAGAAGAGCAAAATCGGTGCAAGATAATCATTCTTCTCATTCAGCTTTGTATCAGTTTCTCAGCTGTATAAACAGATGCTGATGCCTTCTAGCACATCCTTTAAAAATCTGCAGGAAAAAAGTGATGTCAGCACACTGCTTTTCAAGCAATGACACACAAGAAGGAAGGTCAATTAATCAAGCCACAAACTAGAAGTTATACATAAAGGAGTCACTGAAAGTAATCGTAACACACAAACAAATCACAGAAAGGCACTGAACTGGATTTTGATTTTCACAATGTTTGATAACTGGAAAGTTTGTTTCTTTGTTTCATTTCTGAAAAATAAATTAATACAAAATTTAAAAAACACTGATGTACAAGTCTTTGCTGCATAGGAGGTACATTTTCATACTTAAAATAGTTTAAAACATTTGTACAGAATGAACAGAAATTCTCTTTTATATAAACAAAGAGTGTTTTTTTGCCAACAGCAGCTGTCAACTCCAAAAACACAGAATTAAGGTGACAAGAGAACCAGACAGTCTAAGTCACTGCCATTTGTGTCAAAAAAAATTATGCCACCCTTTTCTACAGCTCATCGTGCTTGTATGTAAATTCCCTTGCAGATATAAACCCATCACTGTCTTCATCTTCTTTATCAAATATGTCTTCAACCAAAGCATCATGCTGTGTGTCATTTACCACTGCTCCATGCTTTTCAAATTCTTTCTTCAAGTAAATTTTCACCTATTAGACAAAAGGCAAGAGTTAATGTTTTTAGGCTTATGAAATAATTGATTACTGTAGTGTAAAAGAGGGCCACTATGTTCAGGATGGTAGTATTACGACAACAGATACCTTCCTATGACACTGCCACAACAATACTTGTCTGACTGATTCTGCAGCCCTGTTCAGTGATGAAAGGCTCTGCAGTAATATAAGCAACAGTAAAACTAGCAAATCAGTTCCATACATTTATGGTATCTGACTGATAAGTAAGTCAGAAAAACCTGTCATCTGACATCTATACAGTAAAGTATCAATAGCTAGGCAGAAGTTATTAGCTACCAACTGGTCAGAGACCCAAACAGCTTTTTCACATCCTAACACTTTGACAAGCCAGCAGATGTAAACAGCCGCCTCAAATATATACAAAAATCTGCCCACAGTCTCAGCATTTGCTGCTCTAATGGGAGCTACATTAATAAAGATTTATTTCTAGACATCTCAAAATTTTGAAGGACAAAGATTCAAGTCAGCTTAATGTAAATAACTGTTCCAGTGTTTAAAAGCTAGTTACTAATGGTGAGCAGTGCTTTGAACAACATCAGATTATTTTTACTGAATTTAAGGTTTAACTATTGAGATCCCAAGTGTTCTAAATTGCAGAGCCTTCTACAAGAACATCAATACCAACACACCCACCTGTTAAGCAGATACCACTTATATAACAAGAACTGTAACAGTAGAGTGTTAACAAGATAAATGGGCCACGTTTCAGGTCCATGTTATTCATTTCACATTCTGGTATTTGTTAGGGTCATTGCTTATATTTCTAATACACAGACACTGGACACACTGATGCTGTCTGATGCGCAGTTCAAAAGCTTAGTCTTTTGGGTCTAGCAAACTGTATCTGCCCCAAATCAGAAAGAATGCGGTGGTTTATCATAACTTCTCATGGATGACTTTTGCACATCAGAAAAGCAGACACTGAAAATAAGAGGCAAACAGAAGGTGAATAATGCTGAATACACATCCTTCAGACGGTGAATGCTATGAAACAGGACTGCCCTACAGCAGAAGAATCTAATTCCAGTTTATTAGTAAATCAGCAACTAAGTCCAAAAAGCCCGGAAGTCTGGTTTTATTTCTAAGATATTTTACTTTATCCAAGTCCCTCATATGTGTTGGGCACACATTGGTCACATGCCTATGCCTCAGCTTACCAAAGCCACCTTTGAACCCCCAGTCCAGCAGTTCCACTGGGATCCAAGGCTCAGCATGATACAGCATAGATGTGCATCCTTGGCTTAGTTTTACTGAAAAAAATCTATTGTTAAGGTGTAAGAAAGTATGTGAGCTGAAGCCGTACAAGAAAGGCAAAGCACAGACAGGAGCTTAATTGTTGAGCCAGGAATAGCAGTTCAAGAGCGTTAAGCAGGAAAGATACCAACACAAAAAGGCTTAACACTCCAAAAGCAAAAAAAAAAAAGCAGAGAATTGGAAGGCACAAACATTGAAAGTCATCTCCAAGGAAGAAGAGACCCACCCTTCCCCACATGACTAATGACCACCTGGCCAGCAATAACTTTTTGGGTGTCTTACCATTCACAAGCTGCGTATCAGTTCAGTAGTTATGCTAGCAACTCATTAGTCCTAGTTACCAGTACTGGGTATCACTCAATAATTGCTTTAAGCACACTTAAATAGGGCTCTGCTTGCAGAGTTGCTCTGTGCACAGCAGTAGCTAAAACTGTAACTCGTGTTTAGACACTTCGCTAACAGGATCAAGTTAAGCTTATCTTTCCCTTTCCACTGTCTTATCCTGTTAGGTTTGCTCACAAGAAGGGTAACCCACTCACCTCTTGCTTGGACAGTTTCCAGTCATCATTAAGATCCATCTCTTGGAATGACTCATGAGACCTTGGTCCATTCCTAATTTCTAGAAGGTCAATGTTGAAAATCAGTGTGCTTTCAGGTGGAATTTTTCCTGCCCAAAATGGCAAACACAGACAAAAGTTAAAAACTACTACATATTCAGTGCCATACAAAAGCCATATGCATCAGAGCAATGTTCCAGCGATCCTATTACTTTCAAAGCATCCTGCAATTTGAACTAACAAGGATAAGTATCTGTAACAGTAAGTGTAACTATTTCAGAGCATAGCCTGGACCCTGAGCAGCCCTTACAGCACATATACAACTTGAGATGTAATAGTTTTTGTTAAGACACTAGTACACATTGTGAGCTCCTACTCAGCAATCATCATCACAGGTTTGAGACAATGTTCTTGAATCTTTTTTTTTCTTCATGGCCAGAGCCAGATAGACCATGAGTGGAAAACAGTGAAGGAGACTGTACAGCCAGCCAGGTGGCCACTACTGCAACATACAGCCAAGACTGATGGACAGGGTAGCAAAAAGGTAGAGTACAATTCTCCTGATACACCATAACCCTGCCAGTCTCCAAATTCCTCTCTGCTGCCAACTGATACCTTGTACACACAGCAGAAACTAAGTATATAAACCTGCTCAAAAGACAAGTGTTGGCATCACTCCATTTTTGGTGCATGTGAACAGACTGGTAATTTCCTAATAGTGCCAAAGACCATCCCCTTCCCCCCCAGGATTTCAGTTTATCAGGCACTGGCTTTTACAATGGTGTGATATGCCTTCAATGCTGACAGCTGAAGCTACTGTCAAAGACCTTTTAGCACACCACTTTGCTCCTTATATATAGAGAGGTTGAATAGGACCCAATATACTTCTATACTTGATGGCAGCACCCCAAAAACCATATTCCTTTGCCTTAAGATAGGGGAAAAAACCTAATCCACACTTACTATTTTGGAGCTATGGTGCTAAGTACACCCTGAGCTGCAGCAACAAATGGGCTTGCAGATTTCTGGGATGAATAGATGTGCAGAAGTTTCTGGAAATACAGGGCACAGTGGCCTGCTTACAGTTTGGAACACAGGTAATTTTTCCAAGTGTTACAGAAAAAGGCATCTGACTCATCATTCAAGTCAGACAGCAAGCAAGGCGCCAGGTGGGAGGCTAGGGAAATTATGTGCATTCAGAGGAAAGCATGAAGAATATGGAATAATTCTGTCTTCAAGGGCATCACGTGATAATAGCAACATAATAATGTTCAAATACTTCAAAGTTTTCCTAAAGCAAGTAGTTTCTTACAGCAGCTAGCAGTGTTTACTTGTTCAGCCTTACACTAAGCACAGAGGTGAGGCTTGCAAGTCTTTGAAGAACAACTGTAGTCCTTCACACATTAATCAAGGCAATTAGGCCTGTGATGAGCACTGCAACATTTAATATCTTTTTATAGAATTTATAGTTGTGCCCTGCATACCGTTGACTGACTGACCACAAGTTTCCTGTTCTGTACTAGAAACATGACTACTTCTAATACTATCCCTTGAACCCCAAACCACAGCTTCTAGAAAAAGATGTTTTAAAAGGATACTTTCAAGAAAGGAGGGTATGGAGTATGCTTGTATGTATGGAGTACTACTTAGCATGGAGTACTACTTAGCCTATGTTCAGCCCTGCTTGCCAGAAGATACAGACATGCAAACACTCCTCATTCCTAAAACAATCTCAGATTAATGGGAGAGGACAGTAACAGGAAGGATTATATGTTCCAAGACATTTATCCTTTCTGCTTTGGAACCTTGCGTTACCTTATGTCATTTGTGATAACTGTTCTCATGACAAAATATTGTAAGAATTGTTTTAGTTAACTTTTTTGAACAAACCCCACAAAGCAGAAAAAGTAACCTTCCTGCATCTTTCTAACTGTCACTCATTCAACTGCAAATTGCAGATCTGGCCCTCCCATTAAAATAGGAATCTGGAAATGTTTAAAAGGAAAACGCCCAGACACCATCAGTAGTAGACAGGCTGAGAAAATACTACAAGCCATGCTTTGATCTGTCTGTACATCATTCAATACATTTTCAGTAAATGCCAGCATGACTGCCCATGTACCTGCATATCTTACTGTGCATAACAGGGACCACTGCCCAAACTGAAAATAGCTAAAAGAAAGAAAGAATTAAATGCCCCTATATGAAGAAATAAACAGTGACTTTTCACTGTGTCAGCAAAGAACTGGTTGGGCAGCAGTGCGGGGAGTTTCTAAAAGAAACCTGCAAACAAGAACAAGGCTTGTACATGCACATTCATGAAGTATTACCACAAACACAGATGCAACAGCCAAAAAGCCAACTGTTACCTAAGCAACCACTTCCAGTTTGACTGTAAAAATTAAAAAAAAAAGAAAAAGAAAAGCAGAGCACTGTTGAGCACAGCACTAACAGAAAAGACACTCAGAGCATACAGCACAGCAGCTACCGTCAATTCCTGTTTTTTTCCTGTATTCACCACATAACCACTTAATGGTTATTTCTGCAGAAAATAAATCTATGAGAAAGAGCACCCAACTCCATCAATTTTTCTTATTTAATGGAGTCAGCCTGGAAAACTTGAAAACCTGCTAACCTCTTAGGCCAGGAAGAACAGTAAAATACAGACATTAAAACCAATGAAAGTAAGGGAAGGACTTCAGGTGTTTTACCTTTCCCTTCTTTTCCATAAGCAAGGGCTGGTGGAATAGTTAGCTTCCGCTTCTCTCCCACACACATGTCCTTCAAACCTTTGTCCCAGCCTTTGATAGCTTCCCTTATGCCAAGTGTAAACCACATAGGCTGACCATTGTTATGCTTGTGACTGGAAAAGAACGGAATAAAACGTTTAGTCTTTAGACAGCAAGTTCCATAAAAGGCACATGGAGCAGATGGAAGATGCTCACAGCACAGATACGTAATTAAAAACACATTACTGTCTGGCAGCTTAGCATTTCTTAAATGAAAGACCTAGACTTTTAAAGTCTTAAAACTTATGCCTTGCATGACAAGGTTCCTTAAGAAGTGGAAAGAAATAAAACATCTGCATGGTGTGTTTACAGTAACACTGAGCAACCTGGATCCCCACCTTCACTTCCCTGATCACCTATTTCCACTTTGAAACTTATTAGACTGGGAAGGCATTTCTACTTAAAAAATCTACATTCAGGGCCATGCATATTCTTTGGTAAACTGAAAATCAAGAACCAGCTTGATCATAATTACAATATACTTTATAACATGCTTAGAAGAATGAGCCACATCCCTTAAAAAAAATTAGGAAAAAAAAACCCCAACTATACAACAGATAGTCTGAAAAACAGAAACAAATACATGCAAAATATTCAAATTTAAAATAGGCAGATGAGCCCCTTTTCCAGTGTAATCAGGTGGTACACCAGGACTACTTTCACTCTACTGACAGACATAGAATTTTAAAAGCTCAATCTACTACTAGTCATGCAGGAAAGGTGCTTAACAAGAAAACAGAGCACTTACAGAAGTTAGTCAGCAGCAAAAACCTAGAGTGCCACTAGAACTCCTTTTAGAGAAGCAGGTTAACTACAAGAGAAAATTAGTGAGATTTTAGTTTAAATCATCCTCAAGAACATAAACATGCAAAATATTGTCTTTTTTTTTTAGTATGTTCCATAAAAGCAAACTTCAGACATAGCCTACAGATACTAGTGCATTTTGCTGCCTCCCACTATTCACACTTCGTTGATGTTTTACAGGAAAGGCAACATTAGCAAGTCGTTGCAGGCTTTTAGCAGACTCCCTCGATTTTCTGGCTCTTCCTCCTACTTGCATTACTGTGGCTCTGGTATGTTGATTTGTCTGGTGGGGGCAGGTGAAGAATATGCCATTTCACTAATGAAAAGGTGTCATTGTGCTGCCAGTAGTGGAAGGATATATAAAACTTTTTTTTTCTTTTTTTTTTTTCCCTTTTTTAAATTAGAGGCAGACTTCTCCCTTGCAAGTTCACTTTAGAAACCAGAAATAGCATAGCAGAAAACTTATTAAACCGCTGAGATCATATACCAAAACCTGTGTCTAAATTGCAGAAAAGGATGCCCAGCATTCCCATCTTTTAACAAATACTACATGGCTCTACTTCTGCAGACCAACCAGAAAACAAGAGCTAAGTAAGATTTTATAGCCTCAATCTGGCAAAGGGAAAGGAGATAAGCTTTACTGTTGGTGTTCATCTTGAACAGCATTGTAAGTCAGTGCTTCCTAAGCTGTGGAAGTATAAAGGCAAACCAAGCTTTCTGAAAATAGGTGGCGGTGGAAAGGGTCCCACACACAAGTTTGTGCAGCGTTATTTAAGCTATTTTAATTCAATAACGAATAAAATCTCGGGCATGCTATGAACACACATGCATTGCTTTTGTTTCCTTGTACACGGGTAAACGCAAGTTTTGGGCGGGAAGGGTAATTGTAAAAATAAAATGCTACCCGCCCTCAACAAAACACTCCTCACAGAGCTATTTTGCAGATGGATTGCGG